AAATACTTAAGGGGCAGAGGTGAAAATTTATTTAGTCGGCCGAGTTGCGTACCCAGATACCCATCGGCAAGCGCCTCGAGTTAAGGGCGGTTTGGCTTGAGAAATAGTGTAATGGCTATTAAGCCATCCTTGGAGCAGGAGCAACAATGGTTGTATTGACGTTCTTGTCGTCCCAAGCAAAAATACCCTTGCCACACGGAGGCGCCCAATGGGAGCACGTGACCCATACGTGCCTAACGACCCCCGTACAAAAGGGGCACGGGCCACCCTGACGGCCTATTCATACCCCTCCCGCTCTTGAGGGCCTTGAAAGATTATCTGCAAATTGAAGCTATTCGCCAGTTTGCAAGCCCTTTGAACGAGCCCTTGTTACAACTCTAGAGATCCTAGTCGTTCCAGTCGCCATTTTTACAGTGCCCTGCCTTACAGCCCTCACACAGGTTGCTCCGATGAGGCTTGTCGTTTTTCCTCTGAGAGTGTTGAGGGGCCTGCACCCGGACGCCAGACCACTTCTTGAGCCAGTAGGCGACCCTCTCGCCGTAGGAGTCGTCCAGGATCGGCCGGCTGAGGGATTCGCACTTTTGACACCGTTGGTGATAGACTATGGCGTTGTATCGTCGCGACGGATACATCTGAATAGTGATGGGAATCATCTTGCTCGCCCATCCCGATGAGCTGCACTCGGCGTTGTGGCATTCGAATCTGCCCATGATGTTGCTATCCCGCTCCTCAGTGGGTGCTGCACTGAGATTATTAAGGAAGGTGAAAAAGAGGCCAACATCTCGAAAGCGACGGGTTATATCGTTATGCAATTCCGGGTAAAGTGACCACTTTTCCTCGGAATTATTTTTTATTCCTTCTTTTCGGCATGGCCAGAGTTTGTCTGGTACTAGAGGGCTTGGAAGGGTTTCCAACTTTGATAGTAATCTCTTTTGGTCTCAAAAGGTCTGGAGATGGGAGGCTTGAGGATCCAGAAAGACGGGCGGGGCGGACGGGATGAGGGCCCTGCTTGTGCACAGGACGCGAAGGGGTTCATGCGCTCTCGATCCCGACGCTCCGTGATGGAGGGGACCGTTGGGCTGCGATACGGGTGATGACGCCCAAGTGCCGTCAACATCACAGATATCGTTCTGGCCTCTCGTTAGGTTATCGGTATTGTCACATGTCAAAAGGTTTCATTCCGCTACTTTGAA